GCCACAACAACAACCTCAAACCCAACCTCAAAATCCTCTTCATCCTAATATACCTAACCACCAACAACAAATTCCTCATATTCCTCCTCCTTCAAATGCAACAGATCTCACAAGTTTGTTAGCATCTTTCCTCACCGATTTCAAATCCCTTGTTACTCCACTCATATCACTCCTCACGAATCTCGTATCTCACCTCATCCCTCCTTTGAAAAATCCTTAAATGACTCACATCCCTAAACCCATATCCATTCTCCTTTGGAATGCGAATGGTGTTAGAAATCATACAGACGAACTATCTACTTTACTACTTGACAAGAACATTGATGTGGCACTAATTACTGAAACTCGACTAACCACTAAACAGCACTTCAATATACCACAATACCTGACATATCGTACTGACCACCCTGACGGAAAAGCACATGCCGGTACTGCTGTAATTGTACACCAATCCCTCTCCCATCACCTACTCCCATTACCAATACATGATTTCCTACAGTCCACCGCTATCGTGATAAAAACCTTCTCCTTTCCGGTCACTCTTGCATCAGCGTATTGCCCTCCTAACCGATCCATATCCAATGCCCAATTCAGTTCTCTCCTCGACTCCTTAGGACATCACTTCATCTTGGGTGCAGACCTAAATGCCAAGCACCAACAATGGGGTTCCAGAACCACGAATTCTCGTGGCCGAACCCTGCTGTCTGCACTCAATTCCCAACGTTTTCACCTCCTTTCCCCCAACTCTCCTACCTACTGGCCCACAGATCCCAACCGTAATCCTGATCTTCTTGATTTCTTTATCCACAGCGGCTTAAGTCCCCTCAATTGTTCCATTACACGTCTAAATGAACTTTCCTCTGACCATAGTCCTCTAATCCTTAATGTTTCACTTGAACCTGTTCCCAAACCTTCTCCACCGTCATTCATTAGGGGCCCAGTAAACTGGGACCTTTTCCGCCAAATAATCTCCGATAATATTGATCTCAACATATCCCTCAAAACTCCCGATGACCTTGATAGTGCCGTAAATTCCTTTACTACCACAATCCAACAAGCCGCCTGGACTGCCTCCTTTCCAAAAGACTCCTCCAGAATTCCTATAAAGACCATTCTACCCCAACACCTCCTTAACCTAATCCGCACCAAACGCCGTGCCAGATTATTATGGCAACGAACCCGACATCCTACCGACCGCTGCTCCTATAATTACTACTGCAAACAATTAAAACTGGAATTAGCCACCTTCAGATCACAATCCTTCAACTCCTACCTATCCTCCCTCTCTTCTCGCGACAATTCCCTTTGGAAAACCACAACAAAAATCCTAAATCCTCACCGCATTTCCCATCCTCTCCGACGAGGTGATGGCTCCTGGGCAGCATCTGACGAAGATAAAGCTGAGGAGTTCGCCATTCACCTATCCAATACATTTATTTCACATCCGGAATCCCATCCTGCCCACACCGTAACAGTAGAAGAACTCCTTACATCACCAATCCCACTTTCCTTGCCCCCAAAAGCTATTCATCCTTCCGAAGTAAAATTTCAATTAAAAAAACTAATCCTCCGTAAAGCTCCTGGACATGATCTCCTTACACCTCAAATCCTTCGACAACTTCCATCCAAAGCAGTCATATTCCTTACATATATCTACAATTGTATCCTACGCACCACCCACTTCCCTCTGTTATGGAAACACTCAACTATTATCCTTTTCCCAAAACCAGGAAAACCTCTCAATAGCTCAACATCCTATAGACCAATCAGCCTACTCCCAATCCTTTCAAAAATTTTTGAAAAGATCCTTTTGAAACGAATCCTACCCATTATAGAATCCCAAAATATCCCTTCCCATCAGTTTGGTTTTCGCTCTCAACATTCTACTGTTCAACAAGGACTCCGAGTTGTTGATCATATTTCCTCAGCCCTAGAAAACAAGGAATACTGTTCGGGTGCCTTTCTGGACATTGCACAGGCATTTGACCGGGTATGGCACTCCGGACTGCTCCCCAAGCTTAAAATCCATTTACCTCAGTCCTTGTACCTAGTCCTCCGATCCTACCTCTCTGACCGCTCCTTTCGAGTTCGCTGTGGAACAGAATTTTCCAATATCTACTCCGTTAAAGCCGGTGTTCCCCAAGGCAGCGTCTTGGGTCCCGTGCTTTACATCCTCTTTACTGCTGACATCCCTGTTCATCCCGATACTTTTCTTGCAACATTCGCTGACGACACCGCAATCTTATCATCCAACTCTGATCCCGAAATAGCATCCTTAAATCTTCAAAGTCATCTCACCTTGATTGAGCACTGGTGTAATAACTGGCGCATTAAAGTTAATGAATCTAAATGCCAACACATTACTTTTACACTCCGACGCAATTCCTGTCCACCAGTACTCTTTAATTCCATCCAGCTTCCTTATTCAGACACAGTCCGGTATCTTGGCTTTCATTTAGACCGAAGACTAACTTGGAACCCGCATACTAGACTCAAGAGACAAGAACTCAACCGACGATACGGCCAACTATACCGACTACTAAGCAGAAAATCTAAACTTTCCATTGAAAACAAGCTACTGATCTACAAGACAATACTGAAACCTATTTGGACTTACGGACTAGAACTGTGGGGATCAGCAAAATTTTCTAACATCAAGCGCATCCAATCCTTCCAGTCTAAAGTCCTTCGAACAATAGTCGATGCTCCTTTCTATGTATCCAACAAAACCCTACATCATGACCTTAACATCCCATTTGTCCTAGACCTTATCCCAGAAAAGTTCTCCAAATTTCACCAGAACCTTACTTACCACCCAAATCCTCTTGCACAATCCCTATCAAGCATCTCCCATCCCTATAATCCTCCAAGAAGGTTGAAACGGCAGTGGCCTCGCGACCTTTTGTAAATTATATAAATTGGAGTTCTGGCAATGGCCAGATTCTTCACTCAAGACATGTGTGTATGTGGCTAAAGTGCTCTCGACCTATCTCCGCTGGCTTTAGTACCAGTGACGCGGTTGGAAGAGTAGCGCAGGGTTCTCCTGGAGTTCCCTCGCCTGATTGTATATAGGTATGCATGTTATTTTTTTTTTTTTTTCCTTAGTTTTAATTTTCTTATTTTTTAGGTTATTTTATTTTATTGTCTATTGTATATACTTTTGATTATTATTTTGTTCTATTTATTTTATTTTTTTTGTACATATGGTGTGAATGTCATCCTACCTCACTATAACCAATGTCGAACAGACAGATTGTTATAATACTCAATAAAGAAGTTTAATTCATTACGCAGCAGCCATTGCGCATGGAGCACCCAATTTCTATCACAGGCATCAGTTGTCAAAACCCTACAAAATAAAAAACAAAAAACATAATCGGTTCAGTAGTTCCCGAGAAAATCTTGGCACAATGCAGACAGAAAAATGGCTAAAAATGTGTTTTTCGGACTCTGAAACGTATAGGTCCGTCGAAAACCGCATATCGGAGATTTGACCCGATCGCAATAATTTCCTCACCTAGTATAGGTAGAAAGTAAAAATTGCACCCTAGGCATAAATCTAACTTAAATCCATAATTTCAATGAAATACTTTTTTTTTTTAGAGACTCAAAACGTGCATTTTCATTGATAAATCGGATTCGAAATTTTTCACTATCGCCGAATCGCACCACGATAGAATAAATGCCCTTATATGTAACACAATATTTCTTCTTTATGTGTTCGTAACAAGAGGCTTTTTTATGAGATAATGATGCCGGATGAGGGGCTACCAAAAAAGATAATGAATGGCAGGCCAGGCGGAAGGAGACTAATAGGAAGACTAAGTCTGAGGTGGTTGGATGACGTAGATAACGATTTGAGACGGATAGGAGTAAGAGGATGGCGAAGACAGGCAGAAGATAGGCAGGAATGGATATCAATTTTAAGTGAGGCCCAAGTCCAATCAGGACTGTAGCGACATTAAGTAAGTAAGTAATGTAATACAATAATATGAAGAGATGAATAGTTGGGGTGATCAGTCAAATAAGAAGGCAAAAATAAATGATACTATTGATTTTGACATTAGCCGACGCTTCGACCTGAAGTTCAGGCCTTCATCAGGGCTAAGAAAATAACCAGATAACTAGGTATGAGAAACATAAGAAGTGTAGGTAAAAAAAATTAAAGTAAAATTCAGATGTTAGAATAATGACAATAATAAGAACAAAGAGATAAATTATAATAAGCGGTACAAAGTGTGGAATGATGGAGTAAACATAATCAAAAAAGGTGACATAAGTATTAAAATGGGAATCTTAGAATAAGTGGAGATGACGCCACTATACATCCCTTCTCTCCACCCCCACACTGACTTACACGCTCAATGCTTAGATTACATCTCCGCAGTCAAGTGGGTCTTCTTCTTTTTCTTTCTTATTCTCTTTCTTATTTCAGCCTTCTCATCCTTCCTTTCATCCCTCTGCTCTGTTTTAACTTTGTATTATATTATACGTTGTCTATACATCTTGATAGACTTTACAACATCTCAATTTTCTATCTAACTATTCTATTCACAATATCTTAATTTTACTGTTTATTTCCATTTCTTATATAACTTCATATTTTTCTGTTTTTACATTTAATTCTAAGATTCCCATTTTAATATACTTATGTCACCTTTTTCTTTATTTAAACTGCTTATTATCATTTATCTCTTTGTTCTTACTATTGTCATTATTCTAACAACTGAATTTTACTTTAATTTTTTTTACCTACACTTCCTATGTTTCTCATACCTTGTTATATGGTTCTTTTCTTACCCCTGAACTTCAGGGCGAAACGTCGGCTAATGTCAAAATAAATAGTATCATTTATTTTTGCCTTCTTATTTGACTGATCACCCCAACTATTCTTCTCTTCATTATTCACGAAAGTCAACCATTTACCAATTATAACACAATAATATTATTAATGATGAATACTAGTTACATAGCACATCATTTATATCAATATAGCTTACCATGAACAAGTTATAATTCTCTTCTTCTAACTTACGTAACTCTTCTTCTAGTTCATGGGCTGAAACCATTCCTCTATTAACAGATTGCACCGGTCTTAATTCATCTTTTATTTTAATATATTTTTCCGTCACTTGATTTAACTGTTCAGTTACTTTTTGTAATTCACAATTCATTTTCTTATTAGTCGTTTCCAAATTGTAAACTGCCCACATATAAGCCTCTTCATCGCTCAAGTTTTTCCCCATGCTAAGTTTAATCTTAGCAGAGATATAAGGCTCGTTCAATTTGGCATTGAGTTGAGTAATTTTCCCGGTCAACACATCGATTTGTACTTCTTTGGACCACAACTCATCCAAAAGATTGTTATATTGATCAGTAGTTTTATTTACCCTTATGTATAACTGTTTCAATAACGTTTTACAGCCTTTCTCGGGTTCATTAGAATCTATATTTAATAATTTATTTAAATCATCTTTTAGCTGTTCTTTTTCGACTGACAACATGTACTTCTCATTCTTCAAAGAGTCCATCTCTTCTAAGTTTATCTTAAGTTGCTCATTTTCCTTGGTCAAAGCTTCTAATTTAGAAATAGCTTCTTTCATTTCTTCTAATTCTTTTTTGAGTGTTTGTATAAAACCTTTTAAATCGTCGTTTTCTGACATCAACCGCTTCTTCAACTCTGTCAATTCTTCATTTTCGGATTTCAGGGTTTCATTTCTTTTCTGAATTTCTTCAAACTCTTTACCTATGGGTAAATTTAAACATTTATTTATTCCAGAATCTGGCCAGACATAGTCCGGATTGTATAACTTTAGTCGGCTAATTAGCATATCCCTTTCTTCTCTTAAGAAGTCGGCTTCTGCTGCCCTTCTTTTAAGGATTATAAGACGGGATTCTATATCAGATGATTTAACTAAAGTGCGCTGAATATCCTGATTTTCCATTGAAAATATAAATTTGTAATATTTGGAATGAATATGAAATATGTAATAATAATACTCTAGACTAAAATCATGTTAAATTTGCATATGTTATGACAAAAGATCATTCAAAATAATCTTAAATTACGAACAAATGATTAAAATAAATAAGCTGATTAATATCTTATGGGTTAAAAAAAAAAATGAACATTCATTTTACTGTTGTTTCAAAAATTCGAAACTCTCAATTGAATGAACTTAAAAAAAAAAACTGATAAACCTCTTTGGCTTATCTTTGCTGCTAGTTTAAAATTATGGTAAAAATGCAAGGAGGTAAGAAATTAACTCATTCTTAGCTCTTAGCATAACTTGTATACATGATGGAAGGTTAAGATAATTGCAATACCGAACAAGGTCTTATATTATTTATCATTATCGATGTTACCAATTATCGAATGATATCAATATTTAGAGAAAATTTTCATGAGATACATAACAAATATATATATTTTAATATAACATGAAAGACTGAATCACTGAATACATCATTAACATTAATTAAAAATAATTTCTGTAGTGCTTCAATTCTAATATCGTCAGTTTATTCCAAAAAGTCATTAAGTGACATTTCATAGTCTTAAACTTTATGTACTTCTTGTACATATCTGATTTATAAAAACACATGTTTTCTTTTTATACAGTTCTTGTTACTAGCGGATCCAGGATTTAATTTTAGGGAGGCTTTATCAGCCCCAAATATTTTTTTTTTTTTTTTGTATAAATATATTAGGATAATGACTTCGAAAGAAAGAATGAAAGAAACTAACTACCTATATGAAATGGTCTTTAAGTGATTGTTGAAGTCCTATTAACTGTAATTAGATAATACTTTTAAAGATCATTTTTTTCATAAAACATGGTTATATTTTACCATATATTATATTTATATTATAACATATATATTTATTTTTGGGGCGAGCTTCAGCCCGAAAACCCTCCCCCCCCCCAGTAGATCCGCACGTGGTTTTTGTAATCTTTAAATAGGGTAATAATTACATCGTTCCTGAAGTGGAGCTCCATCAAAAATGTACTTATATGGGGAATTTAGAGTCAGTGGGCATTTAGTTATTTTTTTTTTATCGATGATACTTCATTGAAAAATATTATATTTACCCTCCAAAAAATATAAAGTATTACACATCTTGAAGTTATCATCATTCTTTTGGTTTTCTTTTTGTAGTAGCCCAACATATTTTTTTTTATTTATTATTCAATAGTGAACCATTGTATACAACAAAAAATTCAAAAACTGAACTCTCCTCCCTCAAAATTTGAGGTTTTGAGAAATATGTCGATTGATTGGAATGTAAATTTACAATTAATTTTCAGGATAATACTGATTCACAGGATTTCTGTTATAAAGTGAGAAAGTCTAAAAAAAATCTCGATGGTTGCAGAAAAAGAATGCTAAAATTTTAATTGTTCCTTATAATAATAATAATAATAATAATAAGGCTTAGCGAACCCGAAGGTTCGATGCCGACACCACCAATCGCTTGTTACACACCTCCCTCCACCGTTCGCCATCCAAACCCAGTCCCTCCAGATCGGCCTTAATGCAATCTTCCCACCTTCGCTTCGGTCTACCCCTCGGACGCTTACCATTCGGCACAGCAAATATTAACCTTTTAGGAATTCTCTCGTTACTAAGCCTAACAACTTTACAAGCCCATTTGATTCGCCTCGATGAAATTACCTCAATTATATTATCCGGATACAGCTCATGCAATTCGGCGTTGTGTAACCGTCTGAACTCTCCGGTTAACTCATCCTTCTTCGGTCCGAATATTCTACGCAATACTTTATTTTCAAAAACCTTAAGACGCTGCTCATCCCTTAATGTAAGCGGCCAAGTTTCGCATCCATAAAGGACTGTAGGCAAGATAATTGTTTTATAGATTCTAATTTTTAAGTTTCGGGACAAGAGGCGCGAACTAAGTAGTTTTGTCACAGAAAAATAACAAGCATTCCCCGCCTTCAGTCTAACCTTAATCTCTTCTTCAATTTCGTTTTTTCTAGTTATCGTAGAACCTAGATACCTAAATTTATCTACCTGTTCAAACATATTACCATCTATATCGATATCACCAGTAGTATCGCCATTTTTGCAGCTAACCATATATTTTGTTTTATCCACGTTTATTTCGAGTCCTAGTTCTTTACCGGCTTTCATTAACGTTGTCGTATTTAGTTTTATAGTTTCAACGTCTTCGCTTAACAGTACCAGATCATCAGCATAGCCCAGCACGGATGTTGTCCCGCCCAGATCCAACCCTTTCTCGGTTCGCATTACCTCCCTAATGGCATGTTCTAATGCCAAATTGAACAGGACAGGCGAAAGAGAATCCCCCTGTTTTAAGCCCGAACGAACCTCAAATTTTTCGGACAAATTATTACCGATTCTAACTTTATTGACTAGGCAGTGGATCAGCTGATGAGAAGGTTGTCTCCTCAACTCCTCTCTCAGTTTTTACCAATTTTATAGCGGAATCTCTCTGATTATTCACGTGATACAGTTAAAGTGTATATCAGAGCAGTTGATATTTACTGTTGACATCTTTTTTTTTTTGTTATTTTAAGAAAAAAAAAAAAAATTTTTTTTTTTTTTTTTTATTTATTTATTTATTTATTTTTCTCTTATGATATGCGGTATGATCAGCAAGTGATGGCCAGTAAGGTGCCCAAGAGGTCTCGGTCAGACGGAGTTAGCTCACCAGCCAAACAAAGGACTCGTCGCTGCCTACGAGAAATACCTCCAGTGACCAAAATGAACACTTCAGAACCAGAACCTCAGCCCCAACCAGGTACGTCTGCACAAGAAACGATTGAAGAATCACCTTTCTTTACTCCAAACCCCTACCAAGTGCTTCAAAATGACAGAGAAGTAATGGAGTCTGCAGCAATACCCAGAGAACCAAAGCCTCCTCCGATATTTGTGAAAAATATAAAAAATTTCCAGATGTTCTGCACCCAACTAAATAAAATCTGCTCTGGCAGTTATTCATGCCTTAACAGGACCAATGACACCAAAATAACACCTGATTCTGCAGAAGCCTACCGAAAAATAGTGAAGTACTTATCAGAAACAAATGCGAATTTTCACACTTACCAGCTGAGGCAGGAAAGAGCTTTACGAGTAGTGATAAGAAATTTACATTCCTCAACCCCCACTGAAGTTATTAAAGAAGAACTAACGACGCTTGGTTTCAATGTACGCCAGGTAACAAACGTTTTGAAGGAGGACAGGGAGCAGCCAGGATTACGAAATAGGATCCCACTACCATTGTTTTTCGTGGACTTGGAGCCATCACCAGGTATCGAAAAAATATATGATATCACAAGAATATACTACACAATGGTGAAAGTTGAGAAGCCATATCCCAAGAGAGACATCGTGCAGTGCCATAATTGTCAGACCTATGGCCACACGAAGACATATTGCCACCATCTGCCGCGTTGCGTGAAGTGCGGTGAACAGCACAAATCTGTAGAGTGCACCAAACCTATACAAGATCCAGCAGTATGTGCCCTATGCTTGGAGGGACACCCGGCCAACTACAAAGGCTGCCAAATTTACAAGAATCTCAAAACCAGACACCAGAAAAACCGGATTCAAGATGAAGCACTAAGAACAAGAAGAGAGAGAGAGCCTTCCAGAATTGTAAACAATGATGTATCATTCTCCCAACTACTTAGAGGTAAGACTTTAACCGATAAATGTCAAGCCCTGCCACAACAACAACCTCAAACCCAACCTCAAAATCCTCTTCATCCTAATATACCTAACCACCAACAACAAATTCCTCATATTCCTCCTCCTTCAAATGCAACAGATCTCACAAGTTTGTTAGCATCTTTCCTCACCGATTTCAAATCCCTTGTTACTCCACTCATATCACTCCTCACGAATCTCGTATCTCACCTCATCCCTCCTTTGAAAAATCCTTAAATGACTCACATCCCTAAACCCATATCCATTCTCCTTTGGAATGCGAATGGTGTTAGAAATCATACAGACGAACTATCTACTTTACTACTTGACAAGAACATTGATGTGGCACTAATTACTGAAACTCGACTAACCACTAAACAGCACTTCAATATACCACAATACCTGACATATCGTACTGACCACCCTGACGGAAAAGCACATGCCGGTACTGCTGTAATTGTACACCAATCCCTCTCCCATCACGTACTCCCATTACCAATACATGATTTCCTACAGTCCACCGCTATCGTGATAAAAACCTTCTCCTTTCCGGTCACTCTTGCATCAGCGTATTGCCCTCCTAACCGATCCATATCCAATGCCCAATTCAGTTCTCTCCTCGACTCCTTAGGACATCACTTCATCTTGGGTGCAGACCTAAATGCCAAGCACCAACAATGGGGTTCCAGAACCACGAATTCTCGTGGCCGAACCCTGCTGTCTGCACTCAATTCCCAACGTTTTCACCTCCTTTCCCCCAACTCTCCTACCTACTGGCCCACAGATCCCAACCGTAATCCTGATCTTCTTGATTTCTTTATCCACAGCGGCTTAAGTCCCCTCAATTGTTCCATTACACGTCTAAATGAACTTTCCTCTGACCATAGTCCTCTAATCCTTAATGTTTCACTTGAACCTGTTCCCAAACCTTCTCCACCGTCATTCATTAGGGGCCCAGTAAACTGGGACCTTTTCCGCCAAATAATCTCCGATAATATTGATCTCAACATATCCCTCAAAACTCCCGATGACCTTGATAGTGCCGTAAATTCCTTTACTACCACAATCCAACAAGCCGCCTGGACTGCCTCCTTCCCAAAAGACTCCTCCAGAATTCCTATAAAGACCATTCTACCCCAACACATCCTTAACCTAATCCGCACCAAACGCCGTGCCAGATTATTATGGCAACGTACCCGACATCCTACCGACCGCTGCTCCTATAATTACTACTGCAAACAATTAAAACTGGAATTAGCCACCTTCAGATCACAATCCTTCAACTCCTACCTATCCTCCCTCTCTTCTCGCGACAATTCCCTTTGGAAAACCACAACAAAAATCCTAAATCCTCACCGCATTTCCCATCCTCTCCGACGAGGTGATGGCTCCT